AGCCAGGCACCGAAGCATAAAATGACTCAATCAGCAAAGCCATATCCCTTCAAATTATCACCAAGAGAGCCTTGGGTGAAAAACAAGGAACAAGATACATTTTTCACATCCTATCTTATCCAATTCCAAACTTCGGGCCAAAAATGAGCAAAGCCCTTAGGAATATTGTAAATCTGAAGGTTCTTCTTTATTCCCCAAAATGCAACATATTTCCTTTTTATTTTTAGTCTTTTTCTTAATTTATCTAGATTCCCAATTATTTAAAAAAATTTGCAGCTATGTCTTGAATTCTATCATGCACTCTAGAACCTGCTACTCCTAGTCCTTCTGCTTAATGATTCTCATTGGCACGGTCCAGGGAGCCCAACACCTATAGTCTTCGTCCCCATGGATGTAATCACATTGGTGACTCTCTGCGTGAATCTTAGTGGTCTTCTATTTTAGGGGATTTACCAAAATACACCTAGTTTTTCAACTCTATAACATTTACCCTAAGTCAAGATTATATGTATTTTGATGGGATTTTTGTAATTATAGTAAGATAAAATGTTAAATGGTTTATCTCTTTAGCACAGTTTGATAAATTTCCTCTACTTATTTCTTTTTTTTTTGTTTATTTTGTGTGATTAATATTTGTTGTAATCTACCCTCTTTCTTCATATTGACATCGACTCGTCTGCTTAGGGTTTTGCAGGACATTTCCTAAATTTATTATCCCCATTTATTTTTAAAATTTTTACTTTGTTTTTTATAAGAAAGCATTCTACAAAAAGAAATCAAATAATTTCACTAAAATAGTGGATTTGCCAATTCAAGGGGAATCAGCCATCAACCCTGGGTGACCAGCTTATTTCCTTTTGGCAACATTAGCTAGAGCAGGGGAACTTGCAGAAAGGCAAAACTGCAAACTACAAAAATCCACCCATGTGCATGGAATCATCCTAGGCATGGAATCATCATTCACGAATGTGAAGTTGCAACCTCCATGTGTGTCCCACTCCTCTAAGGCAAACCAAAGTTACTTTGTACTATTGCATCCTAAAACTTAGCAATATTGATGCAAGGCCCAACTTGTTGGTATTCTTAAAGTGTTTTTTAGCCCTAAAGAGGTACATTTTTATTATTTTTTATTTTTTGTTCTTTTCTCAACTATTTTATTTTTATCTTGAGGAAAATATTCCTCCCTAGTCTTGTCACCAAACCAACCCCAAAAGTATGAAAGGAACGAAGGATTGGTGTAGTGAATTCTATGGACCACAAGAGAAGTCCATCAGTTGGTGGTTATTAGAGTATGGGCCATTGAGTTGCCTTCTTATGAAGCCTTTTCAATAGTAGAGGGTAGGGTCACTGGGTTTATACTCTTTCTCAGTTTAAAGCACTAGGCTGCATTTATTTGGGTAGTAAAGACCATACTAGCCAGTTGTACCTCCATCACTTTTTATGCTTGACTTCTTTCGTGTTTATAATAATATCCGTTAGCCCTCTTTATTTGTCGGCAGGGCATACATTCACATAAAGTCTTGCATCAACTCCCTCTACCCGGGGCGGGGGGAGAGAGAGAAACTGTTTTGTGTGTGTGAGAGAGAGAGAGAGAGACTGTTTTGTGTGTGTGTGTGTTAGAGAGACTTTGTGAGAGAGTATATCATGTGTTAGTAAAATAGAAAGAGGGAGATTCTTGTGAGAGAGTATATCACGAAGCGGTCCTCGTAGAGTGAGAGACTTTTGTGGGGAGAGTGTGCCTTGTACTAGTGATTGAAGGGTCTTTTGTGGGAGAGTATAGTGATGAGAGAGAGAGTGTGTATTTTGGTCGAGTATCACATACTAATGGTTTACGGTATAGAGCATGGTACGAGCCTTAAAATTGTAAGTAAAATACAAAATGCTCAGCTTTGACAGAAATTATAAAAGAAGTTCGGACAACCTATCTTCTTTTTTTTTTCAAAATTATCCATCAGTTAATTTGAATTTTGAGTATTATTTTTTGCCGTTTTTTTGTTAGTAGGGTAATGCCCTTAATTTTTACGGCACTGCTCTACTAAAAAACGAAAAAAAATCAAAATTCGTGTTGACCAAAGCAATTTGAAAAAAAAATAAAGGCTGACCAACCTTTTTAATTATTTTTGTCTATAGGCAAACAAAGCATTTTATATTTTACCTAAAATTTTAGGGTATGCAGGTGAATAACTTCATATTTTACCTTTAAGGTCTCTAGGTGAATCACTCTTAAGATTAGCATGGATATGCATGCAGGTGGCAATGCTTAATTTCCACCATCCAAGAGAGTGATTCCCAAGTGTGTGTGAGAGAGTGTGCGTGTGAGAGAGATTCCCCTTGTGGCGTGTGCGTGTGTAAAAGGGGGGAGAGGGATATTCCCCCGTGTGTGTTTGAGAGAGAGAGATTTTCCCGGGTTGCGAGGGAAGCAACGGACAAACCCCACGCATCCGGCTTCTCCCACCCTGCAACACCACCCAGTATGCATGACATTGATTTTATCGCATGGTCCAGATTCCAAATTGCTTGATTGGTCACTCAGGTTGTTAAATCTTAACCATCCATTTTATTTCTCTAATTATAGGGTGCCGTTTACTTTACGTTTGTGGACTGCACGCCCTACAAAAAGTGCACTACTTACTTTTGGAGCTCAACTTGCCGTACTACGAAGACGACAACCTCTCCCATCTTTTCTCTTTGCTAATCTAAAAAGATTGAGCACCGACCAAGTACATGTCTATAGAGAGAGAGAGGAATGGGAATAATTCATTGGAAAGAGTGGGGGATTGATCGATTAGTAGTCAGTGGGGTGTCAATTGCTCGTTGGTAATTAACTAAGTTGAGAGGATCGAGATGAGGGGAAACTAATTACTTATTTATGGGAAAGTTTTCTATGTTTCTCTACGGCGTAAAAGATCTATTGTTTTAATGGAGGGTTTGGACTGCTTCAATTACAACGTCACGTTTTATTTATTTATTTATTTTTAAATTATTTTTATAAACTATTTTGATATTAAATTTTGGATATCTATTCTTTTATTAAACTCACACCAATGAAAAATATAAAAAAATATTTATAATAATATAAAATGATCAAATACCCTTAAAAAGTTTAAAAGGTATTTTAGTCATTATCTTTTATCGAAAATTATTGTTAATATTTTTTATAGGTTCGCCACAATGAGAAGATGGCACGTACCAAATTTCACATTCAGAAAACTTATTTTAAAAAAAATAAAAATAATATACTTTGAGACATCAAATCTAAAATTAAACAATGAGTGGCTCTTTTGGTAAAAAAAATGAACGGTTGGATGGTAAGTAGAGGATAGAACTTCTATGCCGTAGAGAGCATAGAAAGCTTTCCCATTACTAATTATGCAGAGAATGATGAATTAAATAATTAGTATGGAGAGATCAGGCATTTGAACTAATTACTGGTTGTTAGAGAGGGGGAGGGGATTAATAATTAATTGGTGGAGGTGAAAGATAAAATAGAGGAGGAAGAGCAAACCATGAAGAGGAATTAAATGCATCAAAGATAGAGAAACCCTGATGATATAACGCAATTTAAAGATCCACTGCTAAAACACGAGAAAATGCAGGCAAAATATTCAACCCCAAGAGAGAGAGAGAGAGAGAGAGAGAGAGCGAGGGTAGTTAAAGATAATAAGAACGTTTTCACATAGGACAGGGATTTCCAACCGGCTATCCTGCGGAGACGAGTAAAGGATAAAACAAAGACAACGTTGGACAAAGCAAGCACATATTATAACACTAAATAAAAGATATAAATGAAAAAATAAAAGGCCCAGAGGGGAGAGTTAGACACATTCAATCTATAATTATTAGCAATATTTTTTAACCTGGCCGGGCCCAAAAGAATTTGATAAATAAAAATCTCAAAAAATTGTTAAAAAATAAGGAAAAAGTCGGAATGGGCAATAGAACTCACTAGAAATCCATAAAAGTACAACAAAAGCATAAAAAGCCACCATGAAAAACTATATAAATGATCTACAAATGTATTTCTCAAAAATATAAAAAAATTGTTAAAAATCATTAAAAACAAGTAAAGTGAGTAATATAATTCATTAGAAGTCCATTACAGTCGCACAAATGAAAAAAAAAAATCACCATGAAAATCATATAAATGAACTAAAAATGTTTTTCTCAATCATTTAGTTACGCTTTTTTTATAAAAAAAGTAGGAGCTTTAAATCATTTCAAACAGGGCCGACTTGACCGTTGGAACTCACGTCCAAGGCTGAGTTACTAGGCTGATTTTTGAAAATTTATTAGAAGTCATTCAAGAATTGCATATAAGATTCGGGTGATTCTCGAGTCTAACTGGATTGGGAGACTCTCAATTCCCATCTGCAACACCCAAAATCTCCTAACTTCATTTCTTTTCTTTTTTTAATAAGTTTGATCCGGGGATTCGGAATTGTACCCTTGATGTTTCCGATTTCATAACCACTGAACACTGTTCCTACAGTGTTTTGTACTGCAGAGGGTACAAAACCCATTAGAAAATAATAAAATAGCAAAAAAATAGATAAAATAACACAGGGGAGAGAGAATCTAATCCACGTACTGTAAAATTCATGCTCGCTAATTAAGAAAAAGAAAAAGAAAATTTATCCATAGTATTGCCCGTATAAAAGTAAGACAACTCAACTTTAGAAATCCAGTTAAAAAGGTAGGTACCACGCTGAAAATCCCTCTGATCGATACCAAAAAATGGAATGTAAGTAATAAAAATATTGCATCTTAATACATGTATTTGGACTATCCACGAGTTTGAAAACTTATAGATTTGTTCAATCGTATTATTTTTAAAAACTCTTTCATAATTACAAATAAAAAAATAGATAGATTTTTAAACTATAAGGTTTTCGGCAAGAAAAATTCATTTTTCGACATGATATATAGAAGGCTACCTTACCTTTATTCACGCAAAAAAAAAAAAAAAAGTAAGAAAGCGAAAGAATACAGAGTCTACATACTGTACAAAACCATGATTAAATAAACTACTAATTTTATTACAATAAGTGAGAGCAAGACACTCTACAATCCCAGTCGTGGGTTGGTTAAGCAACCATAGGTACCAAAAACTGCAGTTAGGCTTAAGTTAGAGAGAGAGAAAGAGGGACATATAATCTAGAGAGAGAAAGTCGTAGGTGGTCTTAGCCGGCGGGTTTGTCGGCGTTAGCTTTGGAGGGGCTCAGAGGAACGGCTTTGGTCGATTCAACGAGTCGTTTAGCGAAGCTATCGAGGCGTTGGCCGTTAGTCTCCGTTAGAAGCCTCTTACCCCCTAACGGTAACGTCTCCACCGCTTTCTCCCTCAACATTCCCTCCCCTGCCGAGACCAGAGCGATAACGCCGTTAACTGACGCGTCAACCTCTTTTGACGCTGAGAAACCGTTCCCCTGCCAAAAGAAACCGTAACAAATGCCGTTACTTTAAATTTCACATTTTAAAATGACAGCGAAAATAGTAATTAGTAATTACCAAGGTGTAAACCCTGACTTCAATAAATTAGGATAAAAATAGGAAAAAATAAAAACAATCTTCAAATCCAGGGAAATGAAAGGGACATTCGAAAATGACAAGAGAGTGTTTTGGGCTTCAGAAATGACTATAATGCCCCCTGTAAGAGATTCAGCCCACCTTTTCGCACCTGCTTCCTCCTTTCAAAAGTATTGGAAGCATTTTGACTTGGGAGAATAATATTTATCTTTACTTTTATTTCTATTTTGCCAGACTGCACAAGCCTTTATTTTACCAAGCTCTGTCAAAGTAAATAAAAAAAAAAAGAAGTAAATATTTCGATTTCTCATAAAATTCCCCATTTTCCAAATAGTGAACACCCCATTCTAACAAACTCTCTCAAGACATTTCTTGTCAACCTAAACTTCTTAGTTGTTTCTACTGAATTTTTTGATAAATATTAACCCAATTTGTACACGTTAACAAACTCTATGGATAGGTCGTCATCATCAAAGCATTTTCCCAACCATGCGTACCCAAATTGCACCAAAATGACAATCTCCCAAGGAAGGTAGATTTCAAAAAGATGGGGCTTCACCCGTGCGCCTTCCAAAGCCACTATTTCCCATAAATAAACCAGCTCCCGAAGCTTCTACCACCTAAAATTGAAGAGCACTGAGACTTCTAAGTCCTTTTTGTTTTTGAGCAAGTGTTTGTTTTTTGGAAGATACAATTTTGAAAACTGCATATTGTAGAACTTGCCGTATCTAATTTCTTGGAAAACATTGTTTTTTAAATTGCGTCTTCCAAAAAACAAACACGTCCCGAATTTTCTAAATAAACATGTAAGTGTCCCAAGCAGCCTAACCAGCCGAGAGAGGTCCACGTTTGTGGGCATTTTGAGCAAGACCAAGGGCAAACATCACTGCATTGAAAAACTGCAATAATGACACAAAACATGAAAAAATGGCACAAAACAAATAAGGCATTTTCCAAATAATTTTGGGCACCGAAAGGGACACAAACCGGGAGTTCACCTGAATCCTGACATAGTCCTGAGGGTTCCGGAAAAATGCGTTTCCAAGTATCTGGTCCACCGTATCCGACACGCCATCCAACACAATCTCCACCACCCCCTTCCCCCATTCGCCGGAAAACGACTTCCGGCAGCCAGTAAGTTTTCCCGGGGTCCGGAAACCCCCGTTCCCAAGCGAGAGCAAAACTAAATCCTCCACCCCGTTAACCTTGGGAAAATCCCTCTTGTTATGTAACACGTGCGTTACAACGGCCGCCGACGGGTTGTTCATAACGAGCCCACCGTCTATGGCCGTCACGCCCGTGCGACCATCCATCGAGGAGAGATGAACCGGCTTGAACCGGTTTGGTGTGGCACAAGTGGCTCGGCACACGCGCCATAACTCGAAGTCAAATCCTTTCGACTCGACTGCATCGGCTCGGGAGAAAACAAAGGGAGCCGCACTATTCAAATCATAGCAAGGGATAAGGAGCGGCTTGAGCGAGTCACGAAGAGTCATCGGTCGACCGGCTCGGCTGAGGAGGTTCCTGAGGAGCCCATCGAAGCGGCGGCTCGGCCAGCGCCGCCGGAAAAATCCACTTGGCCTGAAAATATTGCTGATTTTTTCCGCTATGATTTTAACGGCGTCTTCTGCAGCAAATAGCGGGCGGCCATTACCGTCGTCAGCCAATAACATGGAGGCGAAAACGCCACCGATACCGGTTCCGGCGATTACGTCGAAAAAATCTGCAATCCGAGCATCTGGATCTCCGGATTTTTCCTTGAGCTTTTTCTCGAAATAAACTAGGGCTTGGCCTGATATCAAGCCCTTGAGACCACCTCCATCAATGCTAAGAATCCTAATTTTTCTCTCTTCTGTGTTTTTTTCTTCTTTGTTGAGCCAGCCTGAGAGCCATTTCTTTTCAAGTTTTGTAAAGATTTCATAGGTGACTCTGCCCAATTCCTCTTCGCTCACCATCTCCATTTCAAAAACTCAGAACCCTAAGCCTAACAGTAAAAGAGAGAGAGAGGAGACATCTGGGTTTTATGGAGACGAATGAAAAGGCAAAAACAGGGGAAATATGGGTTCAATGCCTCAATGAGGAAGAATTACAAGAAAAAAAAGGGAGAAATATACGAATAATAGAGAAAAGGGAGATGAAGAAAAAGTATTGGAAATGTGTGTTTAATGGAGGAGAAATGACAAATGAGAGAGGCATAAAAATATGGGCTCAATGGAGAACTCAGAAGTGAAACCAGAGGAGAAATATGGGTTCGATGGATATGAGAAATGTGGATCTAATATAGAGAAAAAGGAAAGAGAAAATAGGAGAAATGTGGGTTTAGTACAGATAAAAATGAGAATGGTTTAATGGCTTCTTCTGTTTGGTGTATTAATAACAGCTAGCAGTCATTCAAGCCTGGTGCTCGCTCTTCACTCTGATCTGGTTAATCACGCCTTCTCCCTGAGAGCCATTAAAGGCCCTTTTTCTCTCTCTAATATTTTACATTGAAAGGGAAAAGGAAGTGAAGAGGAAATGCATCGTTTCCCCATGCATAGGCGAGCCACACATATCACCACCAACTGCAAGCAGCCCAGCGGTTTATATACCCGATTCCTCGCTCTCTCCTCCCCTCCCCTCCCCTCCCCTCCCCTCCCCTCGTTTTTTTAATCTTTTATTCTCTCTCACTACTCCATTTCTTATTACTTTCTCTCTTCCTCTTTTCTATCTTTTATTTCTTTTTCTCTCTTCCCTTTCTATATTTCCAGCTTTTACTTGGTTTTATTTTTCCATTATTTTTATGGGCCCACTGTCATCCTTAGCCCATATATATTATTTATTCTAGCTACCCACCATAAGGAGTTCGGGATCCATTTGTGAGCCCACAAATTAGAAGTACGACGTGTGATATATATAGCAAATACTGTCTCTCTCTCTCTCTATATCTTTATTGGTTCATTATAAAAAAGTATACTTAGAGTACAAGGTGAATTTAGTTTTCTTCTATTTATTATTCTTCATGTTATAAAATTGTATTATCCTTCTTTATAACAAATTAAAGCTTAAAGTGGACAAACTGCTTAAGGTAAATTTATTTTAGGGGATTGTTTATAAAGAAACAATACAGTGGTCATAATCATTCTTGTGAAATTGGATTGCTAGAGGTGAGTCCCAAAGTTTGATTAAATTTTTTTTTTTTTTTTTTAACTTTGTATCTATATAATAACCCTCTTACAACTACTATAATGTGTAAAAGTAGTACTCAGTTTTTGTTATTAGTTTATTTGGTTTAGAGTGTGCTTAGTATAACTTGAAGAAAAATTCAGGCATATTATTGGCAACAAGGCCACAATCATATACCCATATTATTGGCAACAAGGCCACAATCACCCGTCATTAGATTTCAAGCCGTCTAATTTGTCATTTAATAGATAACAAACCATCTAATTTATCATTTAATAGCTAAATATGACTAAGAGTCTTATCGTGTACGATCCTTAATGCACCAAAACAAATAAGGCTTAAAGAATTTTATCTCCAACAATTTACAGGTTTGGGTTCAGTAAAGGGTAGGGTCCAACCGGACCAGGACCCGGACCCATACCCGAATAGTGTTCGGGTCCAGGTTTTGAACCTGGACCTGACCCGCGAGGTCCAAATGTTGGACCTATACCCGGACCTGTGTTGGGTATACCCAGCCGGTCTTAGTCGTGTCCGGGTCCATTGCCACCCCTAATTGGAAGCTTTTGATAACCAGGAATTATATTTATGCCTTTAATTGTGAAATTCCATATCCATAAAATGGTGCAGATCTAGTACACTTGCAAACACTTTATAATAGAAATCTAGATAATGTGCTACAAGATATGTTATTTTTATAATTTATAATTTATTTTTTTAGATTTACAATTATCAAAATCAAGATTATCAGTTGGAAAAAGCTACCAATAGCTTGGCACCTATAATGAATAGTAATATTGGTAGAATCTCAGCCATCAAATTTTTATCGGGTGGTTCAAAATATATATCATTATCTGAATTTTAATATTTTATGAAAAGTGGATCGAGATAAAATTTTAAGCGTCTGTACTAGAAAATAAGGCACACAAGAAAAAATATAAAACAAATATTTTTAAAAATATTAAATGACCAAAATATCCCTTAAAAATGACAGTGGGTGATTTTGTCATTTTAAAATTTTGAAAGTATTTTTTTTTATGTTTCGATCAGATATCAAGTACATAAACTCCAATTTTCATCTCGATCAGATATCTAAAAAAAAATTTTAAAGAGTGACATATATTTTGAATCACTCAATGAAAATCTAACTATTGTAATTTCACTTATATAATTATTCATTATAGGTATCACCTTTTGATAGCTTTATCCTTATTTGTTTGATGCTTTTTTTATCCAAAAACAATAACTTACTAGCGAGATTTATACTACTCTAAAAAATCACAGCCCCACAATAACTTTTTTTTTTTCTATTTATAGTTTCTTATGGTTTGTCGTGCTTTTCAATAACCAAACGAAAAAACTTTTATGACAAGTTCATTTTAAAAAAATATATATTAGGTTGAGACCTAGTTTGAAACGGAACGCTAGATGTCACGAGTTTGCTACACTCAACCATTAAAGCACCGAGGCTTGGGGGCTATTCAAGGGCAATATGCTGGGCCAAGGTTGGCCCAATCCAACCTGGCCCTGACTAGCCCAAAGGAGTTCAACACCCACCCTAATTTTGGGCTCAATCGATTTTTTTTTTTTCTTGTTCTCTAGATTCATAAAATGGAAAACAAAAATTAGCATGGCCTACCTGGGACAGGCCGTGGTCGATGACCTTAGTCCAACTTGACCACAACCCTAGGTCTATATTTCAAGCCCAGACCACCAGCCGCCAGGGGCGGTCCTGGAATAGGACAACTTTGCCTTGGACATAGGGTCTCCTAGACCGGGCTTAATAGTAACAGATAGAGAGAAAACAAAGAAAGAGAAAAGTATGGCATAAATAAAGTGTAAATTAGGCTGGCTTGACCCAAGCCAAACCTGTCCAAACCCATACCTAACCCGGACCAAACTTGTCTTAAACTTTTAGTTTTTCTGAACAAATCCAAAACGGTTTTTATGAAGACGTCAAACCAAATTTCCAATCCAGAGACCAAATTAATAGCCGCGGCTCCTAGGGCAAGTTGTTGACATATGCCTAGAAAGGCCTAACAAAAGCTTTCATTTCTTCCTTTAAATGACATGCATGGTACTTCAAGAGATGCCAAATTTTTTTTAATGGCCAAAATAACAATTTTAACCCTACGCGTCACCTGCGCTGTGGACCGTGACACGTGCGCAACCCCGAGTGGCCCTACGTGTTGTGTGGGAGACGGACACGTGGATCTAGAGCAGCGACAAATACGGAATCGGTCAAATCACGGGGGCGATCCGTGTGGGGCCCACCATTGGGGGGCCCCTGTCCCCTCCTTCCCTGAATTGCCTTACTAAGCGGACGCTACTTTTGCCACCCGTCGTTTTAGAAATGCACCCGTTTCAGTGTAAATGTAAACACATAAAAAAATTACTACCACCCATATTTAAAGTATATTAACTAAAACATCATGAAGAATTAAACTTTAGATGAAGGAAAAAGTGTATACAAGGGGAACCAATCAAATTAAAACACCCCTAAAAAGTTTGCTAGGAGACAGCGTTTGGACTTCCAAAAATCTTCAAATGGACCATCTCTACCGGTGTTGTAAAATCGAACCGAAATGATTAACCAAATATAGGGTTAGGAGCGGCTAGAATCAAAACTAGGCTAATCGGACCATTAATAGAAATAATCAATCTGGTGGTTTTTTTTTTTAAAAAAAAAGGTAAAAAACCCAAAAAAAAAAAACTTAGAATAAGTGTATATTACCTTATTGCCTGCATTTATATTACAAAAAAAAAATTGAAACAACTTTTTACAAAAATTATTAATATATGAACACTATAGAGACATGCAAGACAATTTATAATTTGACATTAATTTAATTAATGAAATTACAAAGTCCAACTAATAATGGCTAATAGTAATGAGAGTGGTAATGAGGGTGAGGGTACTCTTATGTTTTTCCAAATGTATTTCCTTTGTTTATCTATTTCAACAAAAGTTTTGAAGTAATCACATTAACTGTTCATGATTACATTCATCAATTGAGCAACAAAGTAAACTGCTATATCAGAAGTCCTTACAACAAAATAAGAAAATGGTAAGAAAGAACTGAGCATTTTTTAATAATAAAAAAGTTTGAAATTGTGAATAACTCTGCCAACATAATTATAATCCCATTTCTATTACACAATTATAATCCCAATTCCATTATTACAACGATTACAATTACAATTACAATCTCATTTCCATTATTACAAATATAACTATATCATGCACTTAAAAAAAAAAAAAATTGAACAAAAAAAAAAATGAAGCAAAAGTAAGACTGACATTATCATGCACTTAATTTTTTGTGTGTTAGAAAAAATATATAACATTTAAAAAAAAGAATCACTTTTTTTGTCATATTCATCAAAAAACATATTTTTATCATACAAACATATTTTTTTTTGTATAATTTTAGTAAGCAAAATAGGAAAACACATCCCATATTCATCATAAAAAATAATTTTATTAACTTAATAATATTAAGTAAAATTACTTTTTTTTTGAAAAATTGGTTTCTCAGAAACCTCTAAAATCGAGCAACATTTCAAGCAAACAATCCTCAATGTTCGGAAAATCGAACAAATCAATACAAAAGCTTTGTAAAGACTTCCATCTGGGTATTTTTTTATTTAATTTAAAAAGTCACATAAAATTTTGACCTACGAAATTTTCATGACATCAAGCGAGAAATAAATTCATATAAAAAAATTTACTCAATTATAAATCAACATACCTATTTTATATGACAGATGAAACCTTGATGATCAAAATCTATAAATCAATTTGATAAAAAAGACCAGTAAATTGATCAAAAATATGTTTTTTGGATCCAACACATGTTCTTTGAGCAGCAAATTTTGAGGGCAAAATCAACCCCAAATATCTTGTTTTTTGAACAAATTTAAACATGGATATGGTAACCAAATCGATTTTGACCCTCAACTTTCATCAATAATCCTTACCTATTGTAGATGAAATTAACGAAATGGCGGATCGAATTAGGGTTCTTCAAGCAGCTCGAACATAGGTTATTCGAGCAAAGTTTCTGGCCAAAATCAACCCCCTATATCTTGTTTGTTGAACAAATTGAAACAGGGATATGGTAACCAATTCGATTATGATTCAAAACTTTAAAATTTCATCAATAATCGTTACCTATTGAAGAAGAAATTGATGAAATGACAGAAATTTCAAAATGTTAGAAAATTCACCCCTTCAATCCACAAGAACTTTTTTTTTATATGAATCTTTACGATGCTAAAGCGCCAAAAATGCCAAAAATGGCAAGTAAATCGAATAAAAAATGCAAGAAAAATTGATTAACAGATATTGCTGCAAATAACGGGCTCCATTTAAAAAGCACCCATTTGGTTTTGCCCGTTTTTTGCCGAAAAACGCCGTTTTAATAGAAAACCAGTCTGGTTGGATCTAAACCGGTCGGTTAGA